CTTTGTTTCTTTTTATCCTCATTTGGTTTATTCTATGTTGTCACTGTTTTTGATTTATGTACCCTTTGTCTTGTATATAAGTTTATCTGACTTGGGGAAGGGAAGAGGAATCACAAAAACAGTGGGACAAAGGACGTGCCAATTTAACAATGATACTTACTAGACACTCTGTTGGAAATGAACTTTACAGCTTGGGAAGGAGGTGGTCAGGGGAAAAGAAGGATTAAGTGAAGGAGGAGGTAACACTGTTCAAAAAGAAATGTAGTCATTATCTTACGTAATTGTAATCCCTCTGAACATCACCTTTACAATAAAATTAAAAGAATGAATAAAGCCAAGCACTGGTGGCTCATGCCTGTAATCCTAACTACTCAGGAGGCTGATATCTGAGGATCACAGTTCAAAGCCAACCTGGGCAGGAAACTCAACTGGAAGTGGCACTGTGGTTCATGCAGTAGAGTGCTCAGTGCTCGTCTTGAGCTGAAGAGCTGAAGGATAGCACCCAAGCCCAGAGTTCAAGCCCCATGGCGGACAAAAAAAGAAAAAAGAAAAAGAAAGAACAAACAAAAGAATGAATAGTCTAAGTGTGTTTACCATGCTAAAATTGTGATGAGTCTTCCACATGGTGTTGGGGCAGGACATGTCCCCCAACCCCTGAAGTGGATGTCTCTGCCTCCCCACCGGTGGTGGCTAACAGCTTCTGTTCTCAGTCCACTTAACTGCGTCAAGTGATAATTTGTTTACTCCATGGAAAGGCTACCACCCATTGCACCCTGAGCAGGGTTAGGGAAGACTGCTTCACATAAAGGACCTCTGTCTAGTTTAAGCTCAGCCTGGATAGTGGGTAGGGTGGAATTTGCCAACACCTTCCTCTGTGCCTAAGTATACCTTAGGGTATCCAGTACCTTTCTGGTCAGAGATTCCATGACCATCTGTACTCACCCAAGCTTGGACTCGTGTGTGTGTGTGTGTGTGTGTGTGTGTGTGTGTGTGTGTGTGTGTGCATGTATGTGTGTGTGTTGTGAAGCTTCAGACTCTGGAGAGAGCTGGGATTGTGGGTAAAGATTATATGAATACTCATTCTTCTGTTCCTGTTGGGATCGGTTCTTGGGGAGGGAGTAGTTTGGGGGAAGCTTGAGCTTGTGTCTTTATCAATAAACTCATTTACACACACACACACACACACACACACACACACACACACAGACACCCCCCACCCCACCCCATACACACACACACATGAGTCTTCTGAACAAGATAGCAGAAAACTTTGACTAGAACCATTACAATGTACTAATGTGTAGACTCTTTCTTAAGTAAGATGCTACTGGAAAGATATGACCACAGACCTGTTTCACACTCTTCTTTGAGCATGCCTCAATGCTTGCTTTCATTTTGTCTAGCACAGTGTATCTTTTTTAAGATTTGTATTTTATTGTAAAGATGCTGTACAAAGGGGTTACAGTTACATTAGTAAGGTAATGAGTATATTTCTTGTCTAACATCATTACCCCTTCCTTTTCTATTCTCCCATTATACCTTCCCCACCTATCTCATTCCTCCCCCCCTGAAGGTGTAAAGTTTATTTCCCACATAGTGTCTTGTGAGTGTCATTGTTGCCATGGGTCATCCTATGTTTTTGTTTTAGTGTTTTGGAATTCCCCCTCCAATCCCCAAATTAGATAAATGTATGTACAAGATTCAGGGTACCAAAATCAAGTACAGTGCCAACAGGGATATACCATAGAGGGAAGAACATATAAAGGAAACAAAGAAATCACATAGTACATTAAAAACAACAACAACAAAGAAAGACTTCTGTGTCCATATCTTAAGGTTAGTTTCACTCAGTGTCATCTTATATGGTCATATGTCCATAGCTTTTGAGCTTTTCTGCTTATCTGATAAAATTATCCTAGATGTATACTAATTATTGCAAATGAGGGAAACAATGGGACCTATATTTCTTTGGGTCTGGCTTACTTCACTTATTATGATTTTTTCCAAGTCTTTCCATTTCCTGACAAATGGGGCAGTGTCATCCTTTCTGATGGAAGCATAGAATTCATAGATAGATAGATAGATAGATAGATAGATAGATAGATAGATAGATAGATAGATAGATCACATTTTCTTGATCTATTCATCTACTGAGGGGCATTTGGGTTGGTTCCATATCTTAGTTATGGTATATAATGTTGCAATAAACATAATTGTGCTGGTAGCTTTAGTATGACCTTGTCTGTGATCATTTGGGAAAATGCCCAGAAGTGGGATTGGTGGGTCATGAGGGAGCTCTATCTGTAGTCTTTTCTTGAAGTTCATTTCCAACACCTGCAAGTAACTCTGTGTGTGTGTGTGTGTGTGTGTGTGTGTGTGTGTGTGTGTGTGTGTAAGACAGAGAGAGAGAGAGAGAGAGAGAGAGAGAGAGAGAGAGAGAGAGAGAGAGAGATTTAGTTTTTAAACAAGGATTGGTTTATGGGCATGGACTCTGTACTGATGGAATTGGCAATTGGCAGACTGGGAATTTATAAAGAAGACAGATTTTCAGGCCTCACCATAAAATCCAGTCCAGACACTAATAATTTATGCCTGTAATCTCAGCTTCTCAGAAGATGGAGATCTCAAGAATTGTGGCTCAAGATCAGCTTGGCAGGAAAATCTGTTTGACTCTCTCTAAAATAACAAGTCAAAAGCAGGACTAGGGGTATGGCTAAAGTGGTAGAGAACTATCCATGAGAACAAAAGCTGAACAAAGGTGAGGCCCTAAATTTCAACATTAGTGCTGGAAAAAAATGAATAAATAATTTAAAAAACTGCCACCCAAAAATAAGTAAATAAATGAAAGAAATTGGAGTCTGGTCCAGCTATTTGTATTTTACTAGGCTTTACGAGTGATTCTGACATTACTACAGTTTGACAACATTGTCTGGATCATGCTCTTACCTTGTTTTAAAGTCTGCTGTAGTTTGGCAGGTTGTATGCCTTCAAGAGTCAATTTCATTATTGGGAGTAGCAGGGATGAGGGAATTGTAAGAGTATTTGTGAAGAGGACCAGCTGGTGGGCACAAGGGAGATGAGCTGGAGGTAATCTTTCCTGACATGTCTACTAGTGATCTGATTCCAACAAAAATGATGTATGGGAAGTAATATGTAAGTGAAAGTAGAAAGTCAACTGGGAACTAGAACTCTATCTTGTGTACCCTCCCCTCTCACATGAACTATTTGATTACATGGACTAAATAATGACATTGGATATATATGCTGCATTACATAAATTCTATCTTTTATATCATCTATTTATACAGCTGCAGAATTACCCCTTTACCTAAATTAGCATCATATTCTTATACTTTTATCTTGTTTTAGTCTTACCCTTTTACGAACAGTGCCAAAGTATATCGTAATTTAAAACCAGAAAGATGCAGTTTTCTTACCCACAAGTTTCTTTTTCTCCTGTGACAAGATGGGAGAAAAAAAAAACATCATCTTGGTAAAAGTTGAAAACTTGTGTGACTGTTAGTCATTGTTGCTTGCTAACATTAAAATAACAATACCCAGATAGAGACCATTTGTAGTGTCTACTACTTAACAATCCAGAATGGCCAAACTAAATATGATATTTTGAAGAAAATTTGTGTAGAGGAATATTTTCTGTGAGATTTTTTTATTATAGTTCAATGCCCATTCATTCATTTTCACTTTCCCATAAATAAATCCTTTTTAAAGTTTATTAACTGTTTTCCCTGACTTATAGGCTGAGATAAAATGGGGGATCATGAATTTTGCTTAGGGTTAATTTCATTGTAAAGAATCTGCTGAGAATAGTTAAGTCTTGATGAATTGTAGTTTTGAAGATTCATTGATACAATTAAATTGATTTTCATAAGATTGACTGTAACTTACTCTTAGAAGGCAACATGAACATGCTCACATGTGCAAATATGATTATAAACTTTCATTCTTAGGAAAATAGAATATTCTGTATTATAGATAATATTCTATATGATAGAATCCTATCTTCTATAAATCACAAGTTAAGGTATTATATACACTGACTTTACACAACTGTATCAGAGCCATTGACTTAGGGTTGCGCTAAACAAATTCAATTATATTATCTATAAAAATTATTCATCATAAAGCATATTTTGCTGAATGCCTTTGTACATAATATATAAATGACCTGAATGAATGAATGTTATAATGATTTAAAACAAAACCACTACAAATATGGAAGTACTTGAATATCACACACACACACACACACACACACACACACACACACACACACCTCAGACAAAGAGATTTATAAAACAGAAAGCTTAGCAAATCATAATTTAAAAATTTCACCAATTGCAGATTTGATCAGTTAGAAAGACAATAGATTTATATTGTTTTTAACCCTGCGGAGATTTGTACTTGTAGGATACTGTATTCCAGAAAAAGCCTCTTCCTCAGGAGCATTATAATACTCACCTGGTGTAAAAGGCTTTTAGAATGCTCTTACTGGCTCAAACTCATGAGAGCCCCAAAGACGTTCTTATGCTAATGATTTATTCAAGCTAATATGTAATCTGGAGAAAGTAACAGGTCAGTAGTTTGAGCTTTAAATGGAAGCCCCAAATTTTTCAATGCAAATCACTTCACTTTTATTGGTAAAAAACCAAAAGTACTATGACTTCATAATCAAATATTTCAAGATATTGAAAACCATTTATTGATAAATATTTTATATACATTCAAATATATGACATTTGTGTGTATGTATACATATATATGAATGCAATTTTATGTGCATATCTGTAATTTTCATAGGTAGCTAAGTTATTTTTAGATGTTTAAGAATGTGTTGAATATTAATTAGTGTTAATCACTGTATTATAATTCATCATTTAATACTGGAATATAGCATAATCATTTCAAAGAGAATAGTTTCTTAGATTTAATGTTGATATTAATTAAATTGACTTGTGTGTGTTTCTGCTTTTTCTTTTTAGGCTGTACTTTGGAGGTATAAATTTTCTCAGCTTAAAGGCTCTTCAGATGATGGCAAGAGCAAAATCAAATTTTTGTTCCAGAATCCAGATACTAAACAGATTGAAGCAAAGGTAAACAAAAGAAATCCATCATCTAACTCACCTCTAATTAAGTTGATATCATTAAGAAACACAGAAAAACTTGGGGAACCAAAAGAGCATATTCACATTCTCTGTTTACCTGAAATACTATGGAGACAAACACAATAAATTCATTATGCAATTTTAATGATGAGTTTTTACTGAAAGACATTAGTTAAAATAAATTACATATAACTGATTGCATTTCTTAGTTTAATTCCTTATGAATTAAATTTGTACCACACTAAAATAACATCCTGAAAAATAAATGAATCATTTGGGCTCTTAAATTTGCATTCCAAATAATAATTTAAAATATTTTAAAAACTGTGCCTATTTTATTATTTATTCCCTCTTTAACATGGGTATAAATTCAAGTTATTTTAAGATCCTTTTTGATAATTATATGTTTTTATGCTATAATGATCTATTGTAAAAGATACATTAAATGAATTATTTTTACATTACCTTATGCAATTTTTCAGTATACTAGAATATAGTAACCATGTTGTCTTTAACTTATCAGAAGACTACTTGTGTTGTTATGAGTATATATATTTACATATTTTAATATTCAAAATCTAAATTATTTATTATAAAATGTATAGTAACAATGGTGAGAATAAATCATAAAATGTCCCAGTGTGGAGAAAAAGAATAAATAATAAATATCAACAGGAGGTACAACACAACGTTTCATGCCTATAATCCCAGCTATTATGAGAGTTTGAGGCTAGTCCAGGCAAAAATTTAGCAAGAGCATATCTCAGAAAACAAGCCAAGTTTGGAAATGCAGAATTGGGACCAAGGCAAGCCAGGCAAAAGACCCTATCTGATAAAGGGCTGGGGATGTGGCTTAAGTGGTTGATTGTTTGCCTAGCAAGCATAAGGCCCTGAGTTCAACTACCCATTTTACTAAAATAAAGCAAAGTTAACAGATATCAAAATGAAAGCTTCCTTCTGTGTACATGCAGACACAATAAAGTTTTTTCAACTATGAATTAGATTTAAACTGTTATATTCTTTTGCCTATTTAATTCCAGGTGTAAAAAAATTCGTTGCCTGGCATTTACATCCATCCAAGTCTTGGTCATGTGTATATTCTAGATAGTCTTTTGTAAACCTGAACTATGTTATGATCATGACTTTCTTCTTTTTATTTTTTTTAAACAAGGTGACCCTGCTTATGTCTATGTATCTGTTAACATTTTCCTTTTGACTTCCCTCCTTCATTTTTTTGTTTGCATCCTTCTAGAATATCCATTTTGGTTCTCTATTTGTCTTTGGACTTGTCTCTCCTTGCACTTCCTGGACTCTGAATAGGTTGTTTATACAGGGACTGTGGGCATAGTACTCTTACATTAGCTCTTTTCTCCCATGTTTCTTCAAAACCTTGGTTTTGCCATTATCATGATAGTATGTATATCCACATGCTTAGAAAATAACTTGGTGACTTTTTAACTGGCTCCTAGTTTTCAATTTCCCATTACCAACATGGCCAGGTTCCTAAATGGAGACATCTTCAGCCTTCTATTTTTCCTTCTTTGTTTCTTCACCCAGCACCAGGTGTGAACTTTTCATTTTGTGCCAGTCACTCACAACTGCTCTTCAAATTGACTTCCATTTTTCAATGTACAGCACTCATGTTAATCCTGGTGAATTTATTTTCATAGCAACAGTTCTATATTCTTCTGTTCATAGGATATCTTAGTCACCACCTGCTGATTACAAATATTGATTTTAAAGATTGAACTGTAAGTCTCTCTCTGGGATTTCTTAATCACAGTTGAAGTTCTAACATTTGAACCGAGCCTTTAGCCCAACTCTTTGTACTTTTCTGTGCAAGCTAGTTTTGAACTATGATCCCACAAATCACAACCTCTTGAGTAGGTAGGTTTAAAGGCACGAGCCACTGGGCTCTGGCCTGTCTGGGGCCTTTAAAGTCTTAACACACAAAGAAAAATTAGAAATTAATCCACTGGCTACTAACTGCAATATTTAGGATTTAACTTACTGTAGTCTTACATATGCAGTTATACAGCTGAATATACTTGACTTTTTAGTTATTCATTTCCTTTCAGCTACTAAATATTATTTATTTTCATTATTCTCACACCTTAAGCATTATTTAATTTCAAGTATAAGTTTTTAAGAAGAGAATTAGTGTATATAATTCGCAAACTTACAGAAAGCAACTATGAAACAGCAGAAAGAACAGACTTAGTAGTTGCTATCTGGGCACCAATGACTCATATCTATAAACCTAGCTTTCAAGACAGTGGAGTGCATTGATCATAATTTAAAGCCAGTCCAAGTGGAAAAGTCTGCAAAACTTAATTCCCAAAATAACAAGAAAAAAGCTATACTGGAGATGTGGCTCAATTGGGAAAGTACCAGAGAACTATGGAGACCATTTAACAAGAAAAACACAGATCAATCAGAATTGTCAGTTCCATACCCATCCTTGCATGATTATAACCACTGTTGGCACCATAAAGATTATATGAGAATTAAAATTAGAACACTTCAAACATTAAAAAATAACCTTTATCACTATAATTTGTGAATGCCTACCATATGATCTGAGAAGTGAGAGAAGGGTAATAATGTGGAGACTCTTATGTGAATGTAAGTTTTTATTTGTCTCTGACAATTGCCCAGAAGTGCAAATTGATGAGTATGGGGTTTTGTTATTATTTTTTTTTTGTTTTTTTTTGTTTTAGCTTTAGTAAAAATAACCAAATCATATTACAGAAATTACAGAATGACTATGATATTTTATATTGTTCTCTCCCGCCACTCATAGCAGTGCACAAATGATCCAGTTTCTCTACCATTCTGTTTGTGTTACTATGAATGAAACTAGGCAATTCAGAGCAAGCAATTACTTACTGCCTCACAGTTCTAGAGGCCAAGAAGTTCAAGAAAATGGTATGGACATCAGGTGACAGCTTTCTTTGTAGTTCTGTATTATGGAAGGTCATAAGACCAAACAGGAGACAGAGGGGCAAGAACATGGAGAGACAGAGACAGAGACAGATACAAACAGAGAGAGGATATTTTGGGTGGGAGGGCTTGCTCTAAGAGCAAAGCCACTTCAGATATGAAGCTGATCTCATCTTGAGGGCAGCACCCTAAGGAGCTCATCACTTGTTAAGTCCATACATCAAAGAGATTCCCAATATTACAATAGAAATTAGATTTCAACAGAGGGACATTGACACCATAGAAGCATGTATTTTTGAAATCGTGTTTGTTTATAATAAATTAAAACCATGTGGAAGTAAATTAATAATAAATGAAGAAATATTTTTCTTGTTTATGTTTTTATTATTTTATTTATTTTTATTGTAAAGGTGGTGTACAGAGGTGTTACAGCTAAATAAGTAAGGAGTACATTTCTTTTTGAACAGTGTTACGCACTCCCTCATTTTCTCTCACACTCCCCACCTCCTGCCCAACTGCCCTCTCCTCAATGGTGTGAAGTTCATTTCCAACGTGGTGTCTAGTGAGTATCACTGTTGCCTTGGCTCTTCCTTTGTCCCATCGTTTCTGTGATTCTTCTTCCTTCCTGAAAATCAGCCAAGCATACACAAGACAAAGGATGCAGAAATTAAAAAAACAGTGACAAAGGGCATAAACCAAAAGGAATAAAAAAGAAAGAACTCCAAACAGTACATTTTAAAAGCCTCTTGTCTCCATTTCTTGGAGTTCATTTTGATAAGCTTCATTTTATATGGTCATATGCACCTAGGAGAAAAACTTTTCTCATCAAAGTATTAAAAAAAAAGATAAAGTGACTATAGATCCTAAAAGGTGATTAAATTTGGAGGCCAGAATAATTTTTCTTTTCTTTTGAAAATGAGCAAATTCAATTCTTATATTACGGAATAAAAAGGATAGAACTTTCAACAAAGCACAAGTAGGTAGATAGATAAATAGATAGATTTTGCTGAAAACAAATATTTTATAATCAGAATATATATAACAAAAATATGGTTTTTTGGAAGTTTGTAATTACTTGTATTGCTGTAATTACTCACATTACAAAATTAGAAGTGTGGAGTAGTGTTTAACTCTTTGATTGTGAGAACACATCAAAAATATATAAGAAAGTTATGTGGGTTTACATAGTAGTAAAAAAAAAAAAACCTTTGCTTTGATTTTTGCTGTTGTTTTGAGCCTTGTAAGACTAAAGTTATTACATAGAAACAGGTTATACATATTTTCCTTGAAAGTAAGAACTCATAAATTCTCACTTCATTACACACAAACTTAATACATTTGCCATCTGTTTTCCAAGGCCTCATTAAACTTCTTGTAAATTCTCTGGTAGAACAGAGGAATGGTTCCCTATAGAAACCATGGGAAATTATATAGGTTTTTGTTTGTTGGTTTGCTTGTTTTGACAAACTCATTTTATTGCCATCAGGAATTGAAGGAGCCCCCCCATGTATGTGATGATTATATATAATGTTAATATACACGTAATATATCTAGGATTTCTAGATTTCTCACAGTGATTAAAAACTAATTTTTGAGGTAAACATCTTTTTCTTTGTTAGTTCCAATAATATATATTTATCTGAACATATATGTATCTTTCCATAAATAATATTTTTATTAACTTGGCCAGAAATTGTCTGATTTCAAAACAGGCTCTATTCTAAAAGACTACACAATTCTCCCTACAGGAATTTCCTATGCTAGTACATAAAGTATACTTATTACAATTTGCTATATTTGATCTCTGGAAGACAGAATGGAACAAGATCTAAAAATTAAAAGGAAATTTCTATTAAGTAGAATAATGAAGTCAAGTGTTTAAAAATAAATTTGGCTTTAGGTACTTTCTTCCATATTTGTCCCAGCCCCCAGTCACTACCTCTGGTACTCTGTGCTGCTTATAAGAGGCTTTATCAAGTACAATAAACAGTAACACTCAAGTCAGAAATTGAGACTAGACTTGCAAAAATTCCAATTCAGCTAAT